GGGATACTGTTATACCAAAAGTTCAGTGGGGGTTGAATAACACCCTAAATAAAGGTACTGGAAAAACTGCTTCGGAAATTTTGTTTGGTGTTAACCTTACCGGAAAATGTGATGGAATAATGAATGCAACAGTATCTGAATCCCAGGAACCTGTAGACAGAGAATTGATTAGAAATGAAGCTAGTAGGACAATAGAAAAAGGCCAGCACATAAACAAAGAGCGCTTCGATAAGCATAGAAAAGAAGCGCGGAAATATAAGGTAGGGGATTTAGTCAGAGTAGAACGGGATTTACCAGGACAACCTGGTCAAAGTAAAAAGCTTTTGGTGAAATGTAGTGGACCCTATAGAGTATCTAAGGTATTAGAAAATGATCGTTATGAAGTCATAGATACCCCCATATCAAGGAAGGACGGAAAGGCTGCTTATAAAAATGTATTTTCTGTGGATAAAATACATCCTTGGTTAGTTTATGCAAGTGATCCCCTGGCAACAGATTCTGAAAATGATAGTGACAATTTGGAAATGAATGAAAGTGAAAATAAATAGTAANAAATGATAGTGACAATTTAGAAATGAATGAAAGTGAAAATAAATAGTAATAACAAAATTGTAAGTCGTTAGAATAATTATTTTGTGAGAATATTATCGTTAAGTTACTCCTGGTAAATATACCAACAGATTGTTTTGAGATAACGTAACTTTAGCTGATACATTAAAAAGAAAGAAAAAAAATTAATTCTTGTGATATTATGCGTATATTCTAGAAGAATATCAAGTCGCTGACTAGTCCTCTTTGTATTTAATGTTTTAACGTGAATTCCTCTGATTAATTAAATATCCTACTAATTACTAAGTACTCTATCTTTGTAATAGAGGTTATAAAGAATGATAGTAATAATGTGTTAACGTGAATTCCTCTGATTAATTAAATATCCTACTAATTACTAAGTACTCTATCTTTGTAATAGAGGTTATAAAGAATGATGGTAATAGTTCTTATAATTCTCGTCTGGGAAATTTTATAAAAGTTGATGATATTTATTGATTGCTGCCAGTTCAAGTTAATGTGTGAGACTGCTTTTGGTGGACCAATTTATAGTTTGTTTTGTTGTTGTTGTGGTTGGAGGCAGTTGGCGGGACGCCTTGTATGGCCGCGGAGGTCCCGTAGTCTTGTGACAGACAAGGGATGATGATTTGATTGCATTTGGTGGGACGCCCTGTGTGGCCGCGGAGATCCCTCAGTCCTGTGTGACAGGAGATAATGAATCTATGCTTGGCGGGATGCCCTATGTGGCTGTGGAGATCCCGTAGTCCTGTGAGACGGAGATAATGAATCTATGCTTGGCGGGATGCCCTATGTGGCTGTAGAGATCCCGTAGTCCTGTGAGACGGAGGTAATGAATAGGTATTTGGCGGGATGCCCTGTGTGGCAGAGGAGGTCCCGTAGTTCTGTGTGACAGAGGATAACGAATATTATAAGGACGCCTTATAAGGCCGCGGAGGTTCCTATGTTCTGTGTCACTAATGTCATGTGAATGTTAATACAAGGTCTCAAGGTCCTGTGTGACTATTAAGTTCAATAAATAAGAAGTTATAATACTCATATTAATTTATAGCTGATAAGAGCTAGTCTATTGAATTGGTGGAATTCAAAGATTATTAATATATTTAATTGATTGTTTTGTATTATGTACAAATAATTGCCTGGTAAGATGCGCGAGGACGCGGCATGTGTCAGAATAGGCCGAATATAAGATAATGTTACATAGTCTATGGAGAATATTATCATTGGCAATATTTATTTCCCTTTTGACATAACGTTTTGACAGATGACATTACTTTTTTCCGCGCGTTGATGGTGTGAAACTTGTTAATGTTTGTTATCGACTGTTTTTGTTATTGCCGATTAAATTTGGAGAATAAGTATTCTTTTGTTTGGAATGATAACGGTTACCTACTTGCCCGAACGTGAGAATACCTGCTGTCAAGTGATTACTTGCTCAGTGCCTGCTGTGTAACGTGAGTTGTGAGGGATCGGAGGATCAGGAAGCCGGTTTGCTTTCACATTTTGACGTCCGTATCTTAGGCCCGGTTTCCACCAAGGCGGAGAGGTGCGGAGACGAGAGATATGCGGCGAAGCCGGCAGGCTATTTCCACCAAAGCGGAGCGGAGAAGAGCGGAGCGGTGCGGAGGCAAGAGGAGATGTGTGAGCTGTGCGTAGCTGTCAGCTATCAGTTTATTGCTATCTATGAGACTGAAACACTGCACCGCTCTTCTCCGCTCCGCTTTGGCGCGACGCGCCGCGCCGCCACCGCTGTCAAATTCTATAGAAAAACCAACACTTCTCCGCTCGATCCATTTCTACCAAGGCGGAGGAGCGGAGTGGAGATGTACAAATAATAGACTCTGGTTGGTTATTAAAAACATTTATCTGCTCCGCACCGCCCCGCCTTGGTGGAATCCGGGCCTTAGCAAGCCATTGTTTTGATGCCTGAATAATCTTTCCATTGGGAGTTGTGTGCGAAGCGAACGTTTACGAGTGTGAAAGAGCTTAGGCTTCTAATCGTAATTAGATGTTATTTTTATGGACGTAAGCCAAGGCTCTGTATTGTGTTAAAGCTCTATGATGAGAAAATTAGATGTTTCAACTTCTACTTATATTGGGTAATGAAAGAATGATTAACACTAATCTAATTAAGGTTCTTTGTTTAAAGTGGAAAAGCCATGTTTTAAATGTTTCTTTCTTCTTTCCTTTCTTTCAAAACGATCTTCGTAGAATTCTCGCGATTCAAGAGTTCGATCTAAGAACAATTAAATTCTTTTGTGTCTCCGTTTACGAAAATCTTGATTAATGCGTTTTCTCCGAAAGTGACCTACTCGTGACGTAGGTACTTTTTCATAAATGCTAAAAAAGTGACGTACTAGGTCTGTCCTTTTAATAAATTCCGTTGCCTCACAATCGGAAAACACAATGATTGGAATGCGCAAGTCGCATTTGTCCATATAGCGATTTGTCACCCTCACACATGACACAGTGGTCCATATCATTAAGAGCTCGACGGACAGAGGGTCCGATTAATGGCACCCTCGACGGATTGCCTCGGCCGCAACGTCAGCCTTCCTCGAGATTTCGAGAATCGAGATCTTGAGCTGAAGGGCGGACCCATTGACCTAACTGTCTTCAGTTACAGTGCAAAGAGTTTGCAAGATTTCTTTGTATTTTTGTTTACGGAGATAATATGAAGTAGGTAGGTTTTTTTTACAACATGCAGTATCAAAGCACAAAATAAATGATCATATTGAGTCGTATGTGTAACAATAAATAAACATTACAAATCTACATAATAGGTGTAGCTTACCAAATAAATGTAAAGTACGCAAATAAATTACCTGCAAAAGAAGAAAACTATAATTAGTTTTACAGAACTTAAATAATTATTTATATTGAAGCATTAGAATTCCGTACCGCATGCGAAATCACACAAATCATTTACGAATTCATAAAAGATTCGTACAAAAGGCAATTTGTATTATCGTGTTTCAAAAGTAATCATCTTGCTCGTTTAAATGCTGTAAGAGTGAGAGGTGCTAAACAGTTGCAATTAACAGCAGTTTTAAGTGAACTATTCGTAGGCACATTGAATGATTCTACATGCCACCTGTTCACAGAATAACGAGGAGCGTGAATTATGCAGTGTTTTGTAAAAACGTACGTTTGGAGGGTAGGCTTGAATAATTGACGCGACCGTTAACGAAGGTAGGCTGAAGGATTCGCCCTCCGTGAGCCACTCGTGCTGATGAAAACTGGGGGCTGGGGAGGTACTTGTTCACTCGTCATGTCTGTGAACAGGCGCTGCTTTCGGGGACTGGTCAATCCAAGTTATTCAAATTTATGTATGCGAGTCATTTCTACTAGTATCTTAATATGTAAGTCTAGATATTAGCACGTCACTACCTTGTTTAATATACCACGCAATCTTGTATACCCATTCTTATAAGATACACCATACAAGAATGCATGGTAAATTCAGTGAACTGCTCCTGAATCGAATGTACCTACTACTACTATTTATATTTATTTATATTAACCGGCAGACAGTGGTGACTGAGTTTGTTGCGGCGCTTCTTCTCAGCACTTGCCAAATGTTGGTCTCGAAGCGCTGGTAGGGTAAAAAGATTATGAGACATGTAGAGGCTCCTTAAGAGCAAAATGACGATTTGTAAGAACTATTTATTAGTCTAAACAAATAAAGAAATTTTGACTTTGCCTCGTAAGCCCGGATGTGCCTCAGAAGGAACTGAAACTTTGTAGTCAGTAACGCCGAGACATTTTCGGAGGTGACTTCGAAGTATCGCCGGATGTGCCATCAGAGGAACTAAAACTTTAGCGATAAATTTAAGTTCAAAAATTCGCGCCTATCGAAAGAAAAGAGTGATAGTCTATGGCTTAAAGTATTCAAAATCAGGTATCCGAACTTATTAATATAAAAAAAACAAAATGTCACTGTCAAATTATCATTTTTCTTTGACAAGGTGGTTCGTCCAAGAAGACATGATGTGCGATTAATTTTTTTTCTTCACGTAAACGTAGTTTAATTGCAAAACTGACCAGTATAATTTAAGTTAAAATACTGCTAAACAAGCAAAAAAATTATTTTTCCCAATTTGAAGTAGTTTTGTAAGATTTTTTTTAGTTTAAAAATAAAAGTTCTTTGCAAGGAACATTCGGTCTTGATGGTGAAAGTTTTATTTTTGTATATTTTTTCTATTGAGATGGGATTGAGTATTGGACTTTTAAAATTATGATATGATTGAGAATATTTACCATGAGAACGTTCTGATTTTTAGTTTAGTAAATATTATAATTAACATGAATATTAACTTTACTTCTTGTACATTTTAACCTATCATTAGTGTATGTTATAAAACCGATAGTACTTTTAAAAGTACTAATTATGAAACATAAAATAAAATTAAAACCGTTGTTCCTTTTCAGTTACATTTATTAATATCGTTATTGTATCTTTATGTAGTATTAATTTATTAAGAAGGTTACATTTATGTTTTACTTTAAAGTATAAAACACAATTTATTTACTTTTCCTTTTTAAAGTCTGTAATACCGAATGTTCTTTTAAGAGAAAACATTTTTTTATTATTTTTTACCTAAAATAAGCTCTATGCACTATTATATAGGGCCCCTGAAAATATGAATGCAAAAGAAAATCTCTAACATAGAAATTTTTTTACTCGAAGTGCTCGGCGTTTACTACTTCAAATTATTCGTTCTTCTGTGTGCCTACCATGAGTTTACGTTAGGTGTGCTCGCTAGCGACTGCGTAAAAAAATGACATTTAAATGTATGACATATTGTGCAGCGCCCCTAGCGACTACTTTCAAGAAATAAAATCTTCATAGAATTTTTTGACGTATTCGCTAGCGAGCTCACCTAACGTAAACTCATGGTAGGCACACTGAAAGCACATTCGGCGATACTTAGAAGTCGACACAATTTACTCTTCGGTCTTACGAGGTTAATACATCTGTAACAGTTTCAAAATCCGATGAAAAATCCAATGCCGCTTAAAGTGAGAGAAATGTCTAAAGTTCTAATAGAATTGAAAGTTTTATTCATTCAAAATGCTTATAACAATAATTGGTAATACATTTCAAATATTAAGTACCTTTATAACCCTTTCGGACCCACGCTTAAACTAGAAAGTAATTTGTAATTTTGAACATGAATTTTAGGTAATTTGGGGCCGCAGATTACGAATCTGCTATAATTTTCCAGATTTTCCGCCGCCATCTTGGAAAATTCATATACCAACAATTGTATCAAACTGGGCCCTCTACTTCCCACGTACAATTGTGAGGGTC